TAGGTTGCCACAAACCTTTAATTTGTTAAAAAACATAAACAAAAACAAAAACACAGTATCAGGGAAACACAATGAAGTGAAGGACAGTAAAACAAAGTTTGTGTGTACTAAATGAAGCTACATTAATCTGCTAACTTCTTCCTACAGCCACACTCAGATTTTTTTTCATTCATCTAATTAAAAAACAAACAAACACACACATGTGGAACAGTTACTATTTAAGACATTATTCTGGAAACTATGGATACAGTGTGGAGAAACCTGACAAAAACTATGCTCTTTTTTGGGGGTGGGGTGGGGAGATGCAATAACAATTTAATGTTAGATAGTGGTAATTTTGTTTTAAGAAAAAAAATCTAAGTGAGAAAAGAGAAGTGAATGAGGGTAGGGTTAGGATCTGCTGTGCTCTTTCATGAAGAAAGACTAGAGGAAACATCTCCGATAAGGGAACGTAGTATCAGAGACCTAAATGAAGTAAATTTCAAAGATATTTGATATTTGAAAAGTGTTGCAAGCAGAGAAGGGAGAGAGCAAGACAATCTGAGGTAGGACCATGATTTGCTTTTTCCAAGAACAGAAAGTACACTGAGAAGAGAGGTAGGAGATTCCCATACTTTCTATCAATTTGCTTCATTGGGTTGTTTTTAGGTTTGAGCAAGTTAATATTCATCAAGTATGCTAGAGTGCCTGGTTCAGTAAATACATAGCACCAGTAACAGCATTAACATCCTGTGGTGATTTTTTGTGTGAATGAATATCATCATTATTGGATGCAGATGATTAGCAGGTTTGTCTGCTAACCAAAAGGTACCTTGGAAGAAAGACTTGGTGATCATCTTGAAACCCTATAGAACACTGCTCTATTTTGACATACATGTTACTGTTGTTAAGTGCCATTGAATGGTTCTAACTCATAGTGACCCTGTGTTAGGTTTCCTGGGAGTGACTGGTGGGTTAGAACCACTGACTTTGTGGTTAGCAGTCCAGTGCTTACCCTACAGTGCCACATCAGGATTCCTTGACACATAGAGGGTTGCCATTAAATTAAGAGGGAAATGATGGTAATTGTTGGTGGATTCGGAAATATCTTGAAAGATTTCTCACTGTTCAAAATGTGAACTTCAAACTCCTTTGCCTACTGCTAATGGAGACCTGGTGTGGTGCTGTAGGGTAAGCACTGGATCCACCAGCCGTTCTTGGAAACCCTATACAGGGTTGTTATGAGTTGGAACCAACTCAGTAGCACTTAACAACAACAACAATGAAGTATTCATGAAGTTTTGGCTGAAACCTATTTTTCCAAAGAGTATATTTTGAAAATTTCACAGTCAATATGTCTAACTGTTAGTCATTTTTACAGATGCTATACAAATTTATAGTTGTCAGTGATTCACAAGCTCACCAGTCACTCTTTGGAAACTCGACATAGGGTTGCTATGGGTCAGAACTGACTCAATGACACTTTACAACTACAACAATAAAATTACTACATAGTGACCCCCATTCACTTTATTTTTATTTACTTATTTCATAGCCTCCCTTTGAGATTTATCATTTTCTGAAGCCATTCCCAAACCCTTCTGGTAACAGGTGATCTCACCCTCCTTGTAATGTCTCCACTGTGTGTTCAGGCTCCCTTTCTGATTGCAATGTCTCTTGGGGCGGGATCTCTTTTAGAATTCTCTGGTCTTCAAAGTGCCATGTGCGAGTGCTCAACCTGCAGTCACTGACCTCTCGAAACTAGAATTTCTAAGGGAGAGAAATAAGAGTGAGAAAGTTTTAGTTTGGGCATTTTATCCTGGTGTGGTACTGTAGAATCAACACTGGGATCCTAATTGCCTGATTGATGGTTCAAACCCACTAGTTGCTCTTCAGGGTTGCTGTAAGTTGGACCTACTTGGAGGCACTTAACAACATGAGTCAAAGCTCTCACATTGTTTTTTCAAAACATAACTTTAATATCTTCCCCATAGGCTTATTCTCTTGAGACGCTGCTCCTTGAGGGAGTTCACGCCAATTTACTGAAATACCTCTGTTTGTGCTATGAAAACTTGAGTCCATGAACTCTTTCTTCTTCTTCTTTTTTTTTTTTTTTAAGTGTGACGGGAAGGAACTGTTTTCAAGATGGCATCTCTGTATTGTTTATCTTCCTAGACACCTGAATAAGCTGAGAAGAATGACAAAGCTACATTTCTAGGGTAATTTATTTTCATATAAGGAACTATTACTTTTATAATTTACCTTGATATATGCAGGAAAAGGGTCTTGAGGGTTGTTTCTTCAGATACAGGCTTAAATGATTTTCTAAATTGCCTTCAATAGGCTAGATATCAAAGAATGAGTGTAGAAGTCTAGGAATATATAATCAAAATAATTTGGTACAAATCAGGATGTCTAGTCTGTGTTTGCTTGGTCTCAATTACCTAACCTGAATGTCCATTTTGGTTGAATTTTGTGTTTGGCATAGAAATACTGAAATGCCTGTGAAGATTTACAGACTTGTAAAATATTAGAATGAAGGGAACTTTGTTTTCCTGGGCCATACTTTTACTTTCCTAGATTAGGTTTTGTAAGTATAAAATAGATTTCCGAATAAGCTGACTTGAGTTCTCATTCTATTCCTGCTCAAAATCACATGTATGTACCAGGGGCCTTTCAAAAGTTCATGGAAGAATGGAATGAAAAGATAATGGAATATTTCCACGAATGATTTTGAAGACTTCTCATATAGTAGCATGGTTTTTCTCTATTATTAACTTGGAGTTCAGTAAGTCTTCATAGACTTTTCCACTGTTAGCAGCTTTTACTTTCACACATGATTTCAAGTTGAAAACATTTTAAAACTATTACAGTTGTCAATAGTGTATACATTTCATTACCATTTCAATTAGTTGTGATCAGAGTTGCATATATTCTAGTTTAATCATTATAAACTCATCCATAACCTAAATTTAGTGTGACATTTTAGATACTTTTTTTTATCTTTCTTGAGTAATCAGTAAAAAATATTACCTGAAATATTTCTATGTGTAGGAAATGCTGCATTCTTTAAACACTTTAGTACAAGATAAAGTTTCTCTGACTAACTGTAAATGAAATTCAAATCTTTTCTCTACAAGTGCCATTGCCCTGGTGTCCATATGATGTCAATACCTTTTCATTTGATTTAATTAATTTATTTCCATGGTCAGCCAAAGCCTTTTTTGGACTTTCTTACGAGTATAGAAAGTTTCTAGACTTCTGTGAATGCTTCTTCTAGACCACATCTTGTCAACAGCTTTCTGTTATTGAGCCATTGGCATCATTATGACTGTTCCCAAGTCTAAAATCAATGCCTCTCATCCTCAATTACCCCTTTTTTTGTCACCATCCTTAGCTCCATTCATCTATCTTCTCTTTCAATTTTTTCCCCCTTAACTTTATATTTTGAGATAAAGGTTTCATGGGATTTAAACCCAGCTTTCTCTATTGGTTTAAAATATAATCATCTGTACAACATCAAGGAGCTCTGGTAGTGTAGTGCTTATGAGTTGGGCTGCTAACCTCAAAGTCAGCAGTTCAAAGCTACCAGCCTTTCCACAGGAGAAAGATGAGGCTTTCTACTCCCGTAAAGATTTACAGTCTCGGAAACCCTATGCAGAGTCGCTATAAGTCAGGACTGACTCCACGGCACACCACTGCCACCACCACCATCACCAGTGCAACATTAAGCCAGGAAACTGATATTGATGTAATGGGATGTATAGTGCTTTGTCGTTTTATAACATCCTTACAATCAGAATATAGAACTGTTCCATCTTTACAAAGCTCTCCCTTCAGCTGCCCCCTTATAATCACATCCATCATCCTTCCTCACACCACCCTAATACCTAGAAACAACTAACCTCTCCTCCATAGCTATGATTTTACCATTTCAGGAATGTTATGTAAGTGGAATCCAAAAGCATGATTTTTTTTGAAATTGCTTTTCTTCACTTAACATAATACTCTTGAGATTAATTCAAGTTGTTGACTGTATTAATATTTTGTTTCTCTTAATTGTTAAGTAGTTTTTACATGCTATAAATGGACCACAGCTGGTTAATCATCCACCTATTGTGGGACAGTTTGCTTGTTTCCAGTTTTAAACTGATTAAAAAACTACTAACTGCTATTAACAATCTTGTACAAGTTATTTTGTGGGCGTAAATTTCCCTAAAATTTTTTTTTTTTGGTCTGTGATCAATGTCTAGGTGTTTCCCCTTTTGTTGTTAAATATTAATTTTTCTCCCTTAATCACCTGATATACTAATTAGGTCACGGCAGTGGCTCAATGTTTAAGAATTTGTCTCTTCTCTGGTGGACTTCAAAATTGTACAGAGAGTGACTGGGTTAGTATTTACATGAACCTGTGATATAAAGGCATTGCAGAGGAGTTACCATTGAGAACTTTGATATCAAGTCCAAAGCCAACTTCCCTTGTCTCAGTTTGTCCATCATCTGCTATCTTTTAGGCAGTTAAACTAACCTTTGTCATAGAATCAAAGGAATTGGTTAAGAAGGTACATACCTAATATCTGTTTATTTTCAAACTGGATTGTGAGTGAGTATAAGCCTAATACATTGAATTCATATAATAACTTTTTCTATAAAATGTTTCTTAAAATATCCTTGGTTTAAAGGCAGGCATTTTTAGAAAGGTAATCTGGAAGAGTTCAAGGATTTGCCTTAAAAATTTTCCAAAGTTCATGTCTAGCTTTAAAATTCTAGGATTCTCTACAAAATCTCCTTTTGACTGCTCAGTGTCACCCAGATAGCAGATAGCTAGCAGGGCAGCCAAGACGAGAACTCAAGTCTCCAAGCTGTCAATCTATGCTACATAAAACATCAACCAATAAACAGCTAAATTCACTGGTGAAATTTAGAAGCCTTTAATTATGAATCTATTTAAAAGAGAGAGAGAGAGAGAAAAAAAACAAACAAACAACTTTCCTTTTCTCTTAACAGATTAAATCGGATAAATGGATTACAGAAATCAATCTTTGGTGGCTGAATTTTTTTTCATGGGCTTAACAAATCACTTCTACCTGCAGGTTGTTCTCTTCCTAATATTTCTTTTTGTTTATCTTGTCACTCTTCTGGGAAATTTGGGGATGATCACTCTGATTTGCATGGATTCCAGACTCCACACACCCATGTACTTTTTTCTCAGTCATTTGTCCTTTGTGGATGTTTGTTCCTCCTCTACCATTGGTCCCAAGATGCTGACTGACATCTTTTTGAAGAGAAAAACAATTTCTTTCTTTGGCTGTGCTGCCCAGATAGGGTTTTTCGGTATGTTTGTAGTGACTGAGTGTTTCCTCCTGGCTTCCATGGCGTATGATCGGTATATGGCCATCTGTAAGCCCTTAATGTACATGCTTATTATGTCCCAGCGGGTCTGCATGCAGCTGGTGATAGGACCTTATGCTGTGGGTCTTATAAGCACCATGACCCATACAACTTTAACCTTTCGTCTACCCTACTGCAATTCAAATATCATCAATCATTTCTTTTGTGACCTTCTTCCTGTTCTCTCCTTGGCATGTGCAGACATTCAGGTCAATAAAAACTTACTTTTCATCTTGGCTGGGGCTCGAGGAGTATTCAGCAGTGTGATCAGCTTAGTCTCCTATATTTACATCATCATTGCCATCCTGAAGATTGGCTCTGCTGATGGAAGGCACAAAGCCTTCTCCACCTGCTCATCACACTTAACAACTGTCTCCATCCTCTATGGGACACTCTTCTTCATCTATGTACGTCCCAGCTCTAGTTTCTCCCTGGACATTAATAAAGTGGTTTCATTGTTCTACTCAGCAGTGATCCCCATGTTGAACCCACTTATCTACAGCCTGAGAAACAAGGAGGTAAAAGATTCATTTAGAAGAACATTTGGAAGGAAGAAGTTTCTGATAAATAGATAAGCTGTAATACTATTTGTGTTAGAGATTGAGAAGTAATATATTACATAAACAACGACACTGGACTGGGAGTTGGGAAATCTACATTTAAACCTCCATTTGTCATTCTTGACAAATCAGAATCTCTGAGTAGTGAAAAGAGTTAATGCACTTGGTTACTTTCCACCCAGAAAAGTACTTTGGAAGAAAGCTCTGGGGACCTACTTCCAAAAACATCAGTCCTTGAAAACCCAGTGTTGTACTCTGACACACAGAGAATCACCATGAGTATGTATGGATTATATTATAACTTTTTTGTGTGTGTTTTTTTGGTTTATTGACAGGTTTTGCAAAATCTTTAGCTAATAATTTTTAAAATTTCTACTTTCTAATTTCTTATTCAGAAAGAATGATATTTAGAACTTTAAACTGAGATAGATAGTTTAAATAACCTCAAAATTTTACAAAATATTCAAGATTTTGTGGCTAAGAAATGAGAAGTTCTTTATAATATCCTGAATACAATGGAGGAATCAGAGCTGCTGGACTTAGTAAGCAATACTTTAGTTTTGTTATTTAGGGTGTTGAGCTCCTTCAATTCTTTGCAAGCTTGACCTTGACTCATTTAAATATAAACTATTATAAAGTCTATTATTCTGCTAGTGTGTAACCATAACACTTTTAAAAAATATCTTCATGTTTGGAGTAGACATTGTACATTGGGGCTGTAGATGTCTCATTGGGATTTTGCAGTGTAAGTACATGATTTTCCTATGTAAAGTTCAGAGTGCATTGTAGTTCTTTAATAAAGTGGTATTTATCACTATTACTATTTAATGACATGTGTGACATGTAGTTGGTGTTAGGTGTCATCAGGTCAGTTCTGACTCACAACAACAGTATAGGGTTTCCAAGCAGCCATTTTGGGGTTTGAACCGCTGACCTTGAGGTTAGCATTCCAGTGCTTATTCTCCAGTACCACATATGCAGGCTATTAATTTCAGTTTTAAAGAGAGGAACCCGTTGGCCACTAGCACTCGGTGAATTGCCCGTGATCTCATAATTTGGGTGTGCATTTGTGGTCTCCAGAAATTCTTTAATCAACCTCTGTGCTTCTT